ATTTAGCCATTGGTCGTCTAAAGTACCCCAGAGAAGGCTATTACAAAATAACCTTGACGTTCTGGAAAGAGGTTCTGAGAAACCTTTAGTAGAGACATGACACTATGTTCTTATGTATTCAGAGGGACATCATAAAGGTGAGAAGCAGTTATATTTTATATTTCACTCAAAAATTAAATTAAAACAATTTGTAAGAGCTACAAAGAATTAGATTTGAGCTCTACATGAGAAGGTGGTGGTGGGTGTGTGCTCAGTTGTATCCACCTCTGAGCAACTCTGTGGACAGTAGCCCGCTAAGCTCATATGTCCATTGGATTCTCTGGCAAGAATACTGGAGTGGGTTGCCATTTCTCTTGACCCAGAGATCAAACCCATATCTCCTGTGTCTCCTTGCTTTGACAGGGGAATTCTTTATCACTGAGCCACCTGGGAAGCCCATTATGCATGAGAAAAAAAGTTCAATTAATATGGTCAGCAATGGTTAGACATTATTATTTCCCTCAGAAATAATCAGAAGCTATATGATCATCCTTACAAATTCAGTAGGCAGGTTCATCACTGAGTGGAGGTTCATCATACTATATACAGTTTTTTCTCCTCACTCAGAGCTCTCTGATAGTGCATATTAATTACCTTATTTGTCCTATGCATCATTTTACAATAGGAATAGTAAGGTGGGAATTTTGTGGTAGGAGAACCAAAGTAACAGAAAATAAGAAACTTGTTTAGAATCTAACCTCTTCAGTTTTGTTCACTCAGTCAGTACTACCAAAAAAGAATTTAAGGCATAATAACTCATTAGATTGGAAAAGTCAGAATTAGAGCCTAAGTCTTTTGCATTTTCTATTAAAAAAAAAAGTAAGTGAAACAGTCATGAAAATTTTGAGACAGCTAATGTTGTTGCTATCTGATTATTTGACTTACATACACAGAAAAACATGTTTTTTTTTACTTATTACTAAAACAGTGTAGAAAAATCTACTGTGCTTTGAATAAATCTAGAGTTGTTATTGCTATTGTCATTTTGTTGATGATAGAATAACATAAAAATGTTTTATTCTACACTAAAACAAGATCTAATGTATCCACATTTACTTGTAGTAAAAACTATCACGGAATTATAGGTTAAAGATGTAGAGTGATGAACTTTGTATAGAATCTCACTGTTTTAATCAGTCCCAACATATGATTGTTTTAGATATTGCTGTGCAGAAAATAGATTGAACCATTAACACAAGGATGGGTGGGGCGAAGCTACACTGTTCACTGTACAAGTAGCCTGAAATTCAAAAGAATTCCCCTGTCTCTACCTTTCTATGGCAATATGTTGTGAACTAATGTAAACTCAAGATACTTTTAGCTTTCCAGAGCAGCTAGATTTAAAAATTACTCTGAAGTCTGCTTTCAAAGGGAGAAAAGAGGGTATAAGAAAATGGCCTAGCAGCTTATTCCTTTGTAGCATGTTTCACTTAAGGCAAGCTGGTTTTTTACTTGTTTGTCTTGAGTGCTTTGATATGATCAGCAAATGAAGATTGAATAACCTGAGAAAACTACTAGAAGGACCTTGCGTGATGGACTGCTAAGGCCTAAATGAGATCAGAACGTGCACGGCTGCTGTCCTGACATGCTGTATCAGTGACCAGGGCACAAGAGCTCAGCCTGAGAGTGTCAATGCATATTCTTGAATAAACACTCTTAATGTTGTTCCACATAAAGCAAATACTGTGTTTGAGAGTAAGCCAGGATTAAAAAGATAAATAAACCTCAAGCAGTACAAGATGTTCTTTGTTTGGTAAAGTGCATTTAACCTTAGTTGTAGGAGACCATATTAAGTATGAGTTGCCAGAATAACTCATTCAGTCATTTAAATGCCTGTGCGTATGCCATCACAGAACTTGTAAGACAGTAAGAATAGAAGATCATGATAAACCTAAAAATTTAAAAACTCTGCATTGTCTCTGTAATCAGTGAAGACAGGGAATGAGAATGCTGCTGTAATTCATGAATAGCAACCCTTTGAGTGCCTCTGGCCAAATCTTCCCTTATTTCTATTCATTTTGAACCACATTTCTCTTGGTGGTGTGATACCACTTTGTCACTGCTTCCTCTCTTTTTACTTTCACCTTAAATATTAGCTTCCAACTACTTTCTATCCTTTCTGTACACTTCTCCTCAATCTTCAGTTCTCCTTGGACGTCTTCATTTCAAGTCTTTGAAGCTAACCAGGAGGCTCAATGGTATAGAGTCTGCCTGCAGTGCAGGAGGTGTGTGTTCGATCCTTGGTTCGGGAAGATCCCCTGGAGGAGGGCATGGCAACCCGCTCCAGTATTCTTGCCAGGATAATCCCATGAATGGAGGAGCCTGGTGGGTTACAGTCCATAGGATCACAAAGAGTCAGACACGACTAAGCATGCATATGTAGGTGTGTATCTATTCATGGTAATGTGGCTACTAACTTTAAGCTCTCGCTTCTAAGCTTTAGACCCATATTTCCAGCTATCTCCTGAACATTTTCATCAGAATATGCTGTGGACTCCTTGAATTCAGCAGATCTTGTCTGAAATCATTTTTTCCTCAAATCTTTTACTTTGTCTTTCTCTTGGTTAATGATATGTAAGCTACCAGGTAGCCTAAGTCAGTCATGCTGTCAGCCTTTTTTACTCTCAGTTCATCACAGCTAATTAATCATTAAGTTACATACTTTCTGCCTCCTTAAGTTATTTCAAATTTGTTTTTTTCTCTCCATGACCACTACCATCACCTCAATTCACATTTTCAAGTTTCAGGAGCTTTAGTGATGTTCTCTGAGACTGAATTTTGTTTTTCAGTACATTCTTCCTACTGTAGCCAGAGAAGTTCTTTTTAAATGCCTGTGTGATTGTGGCACTCCCCTACCTAAGACTTTCAGCCTCCTCACATTATCTGCAGTTGTTAAAATTTCAAGTATCTACAAGGATTAGGTAAATAATGTATGTGAGTGAGGTGAGCTAAGTTTGTGAGACAATAGGGAAGAACAGAATTTATATTCAGAATTTTTAAAAAACATGACAAACCCATTACAGAATCTGATGTTGCCTATGCCTATGATTGCAACTAAGCTTAAACTACTGAGCATTGCAATGCAATGTTTCTTTGATATCAGGAATGTCCTTTAGATGAAACTTGAAACTCTAAGCTATTTCAGAGACTGACATAACCAGTGAGTCATGTTTTGTTGTTTTGTTTCTAAGTTAGAGCATACCAGAATGAAGAGTATGTGTTTATTATTGTAAGAACCACAGTTTTCGTATTGGAGGCTGTGGAACATAATGAATAGTTTATGGACTTTGAAGTTATTGTTGACCTCAGTCACTTACCAGTTCTGTTTGTTGCCTATTAATTGTGTGATTTTGAGTGAGTCATTTAGTGGCTTGGAACCCCAACATCCTACTCTGTTTAAAAAAAAAAATTAAGAAAGAAATAATTTTAGGATTGAGAGTACAAAATTAGAAAACAGCTTAAAATTATCCAGTTCAGTGCTTGGCACATAGTAACTCTTCAGTAGAAGATAGCATCCAGACAAATGGGAATAATTTAAGAAGTGGCAATAAATATACAAAAATCTAATCTCCACCCCCCCCCCCCACCGCCCTGCATCCTTCTCAGCAATCATACTGGTGGCCTAAGAAAAGCAAACCTGTTGGAAGCCATTATCAAGTGAAACAGGCAGTATGATTCACCCAGGCAATTAAAAACCAGGAGCTGACCCACCTAAGTAGGCTAGCTAGCTGAAAATGGAATTTAAGCTTAGAAACTGTTGATACTGACAAATTAATGAGCAAGACAGGAATATGAACTGTGTACAGTAATGCATAATATACTAAGCCCTTGTTTACTTTTTTGTCTACCTATTTTTAATTTTTTAACTAAAAGTGATATTAACTGAAAATTTAATTCAGTAGTATTAGGATATATATAGGAAATTTTACTTTTATTTTCTACAGCTATATAAATTTGAAGCACCGAAGGAAGTAAGTGACTTAGTTTTCTTTTTTTTGGCCATGCCACACAGCTTCTGGGATCTTAGTTCCCCAACCGGGGATTGATCCTGGGCGCCTGCAGTGACAGTGCCAAGTCTTAACCCCTGGACTACCAGGGAAGTGCCTAGTTTTCTTTACTAGAATATTTAGCAGGGTAAGGAAGGAGAGGAGGGCTGTTGAATTTATATTTTATCCTAATGTACAAATATAATAATTTTATTTTGATTGATCTGGGGACATTAAAGAAGTCTTGAAACACTTTCACCATTCACTTAGGGGGAAAAAATATACCGTCTTCTCAAGCTTTGCATTTTTCATTTTGATTTTTAAACATTTAAGTATACTTTACTCAGTATTTATGTATCAAGCTGACACAATTAAAATAGGGGACTGGGTAGCTGACAGTATGCTTTTCTGCCTTACCACAGAGCTATAGTGACATTGAGGAGAATGGTATCGATAAAATGTCGATAATAACCTGTTGGCAGAGTGATATCCACTGAACTCCTGATTGTACTTACAATGGAGAGACTAGAAAGAACAAGGTAGAAAGCTTGCTTGTTTTAAAAAGGCAAGACAAAGATAGTTTCAGCTTCTTACTTTGCAGCAGTATATCTTACCCCAAATAGACTTTCATGCCCAGATAAATAACACTGTATTTAAGTAACAGAACAACATTAATGTTATTCAATTAAGAGAAGATGGCTTCTAAGAAAGTATTTAAGAGAGTGTTGAAACACAAAGATAGATAAGTACTATCTTTACTGACCATGGTAAAATTCTCTTGGCTTTAAGAACTGTTGCTAAAAGGTTAATCAAGATAAATGTGGTGGCATTCTTTGACTTGAAGTTACATTTTAATGTTTAACCATCCTTTTGTCTTAAAAAGCAATGATTTTTTACTTTTGGTCAATACCTTCTAAATATTTTTCTCTTTCCTCCCTCCTTCCCTCCTGTCCTTCCTTCCTTCCTAACTTACAGCTCCTCAGAGAAATTTTGAAATTGCCTTCAAGATGTTTGACTTGAATGGAGATGGAGAAGTAGACATGGAAGAGTTTGAACAGGCAAGTTTTCCTGGAAATTTCCTTTAAATACATTAATGTTTAACACATTTTCATGTGCCTTGGGGTTACTTTGGTCTTGATAGTATATTCTGATGATATCCAATTTTTGGAGTACCTAAAGTATCATTTTTCAGAATTATCTCCACTTATAATAAGTGAGGGTTTTTTGTTTGTTTTTACTCTAAATGTAAGGAATTATTTTAGCATATGATTCAGGTCAAGGTTGCTCTAATTCCCCAACATGAATTAGACTCTAATGTTGAGAGGCTAAGTTATGGCTCTTCAATCATATAGTCAGTCAGTATTTATTAAATAGCTTCTTTGTGCCAGTAAATTCCAGAATACAAGGATGTATGACATATGTTCTGAAAGAATATCTGTGAGGGAAGGAAAGATGATACCATACCTTTTACTATAGCAGGTTCTACCCATAAATGTATATGCTCTGCTGTGCTTAGTCGCTCAGTTGTGTCTGATTCTTTGCAACACCATGGACTGTAGCCCACCAGGCTCTTCTTTTCATGGGATTCCCCAGGCAAGAATACTGAAGTGGGTAGCCATTCCCTTCTCCAGGCGATATCTTCCTGACCCAGGGATTGAACTTGGGTCTCCTGCATTGCAGGCAGATTCTTTACCATCAGAGCCACCAGGGAAGGCCATAAATGTATATAGTTTCTTCTGAATTCTAGGAAGAGATTACATTTCCATCAAACTTCTGTCCTTGGAGGGTAATGGTACCTCTCCAGGTATACTTACTATGATTAATAGAAGTGTTTTCAAAACAGGAAAAAATATATATGTGCAAGAAAATATTTTTGTATTCAAAATTAGTAATGGGGCAAAAAGGAAGTAGGAGAAAGTATCAGCTATCAGTTCAGTTCAGTTCAGTCGCTTGGTCGTGTCCAACTCTGTGGCCCCATGAACTGCAACATGCCAGACCTCCCTGTCTATCACCAATTCCCAGAGTCCACCCAAACCCATGTCCATCGAGTCAGTGATGCCATCCAGCCATCTCATCCTCTGTCATCCCCTTCTCCTCCTGTCCCCAATCCCTCCCAGCATCAGAGTCTTTTCCAATGAGTCAACTCTTCGCATGAGGTGGCCAAAGTACTGGAGTTTCAGCTTCAACATCAGTCCTTCCAACAAACACCCAGGACTGATATCCTATAGGATGGACTGGTTGGATATTCTTGCAGTCCAAGGGACTCTCAAGAGTCTTCTCCAACACCACAGTTCAAAAGCATCAATTCTTCGGCACTCAGCTTTCTTTATAGTCCAACTCTCACATCCATACATGACCACTGGAAAAACCATAGCCTTGATTAGATGGACCTTTGTTGGCAAAGTGATGTTTCTGCTTTTAAATATGCTATCTAGGTTGGTCATAACTTTCCTTCCAAGGAGTAAGCATCTTTTAATTTCATGGCTGCAATCACCATCTGCAGTGATTTTAGAGCCCAGAAAAATAAAGTCAGCCAGTTTCCACTGTTTCCCCATCTATTTGCCATGAAGTGATGAGACCAGATGCCATGATCTTAGTTTTCTGAATGTTGATCTTTAAGCCATCTTTTTCACTCTCCTCTTTCACTTTCATCAAGAGGCTCTTGAGTTCTTCTTTGCTTTCTGCCATAAGGGTGGTGTCATCTGCATATCTGAGGTTATTGATATTTCTCCCGGCAATCTTGATTCCACCTTGTGCTTCTTCCAGCCCAGCGTTTCTCATGATATACTCTGCATATAAGTTAAATAAGCAGGGTGACAATATACAGCCTTGATGTACTCCTTTTCCTATTTGGAACCAGTCTGTTGTTCCATGTCCAGTTCTAACTGTTGCTTCCTGACCTGCATACAGGTTTCTCAAGAGGCAGGTCAGATGGTCTGGTATTTCCATCTCTTTAAGAATTTTCTACAGTTTATTGTGATCAATACACAGAGACAAATATTTCAAAATACCTATAGATATTTATTCAATTTGCAGGCTATGTCCATCTAATACCTTCAGTTTTCTGTAATTCTGCACTTAACTGATATTACTGGATGGCCTCAAATGATTGTAAATAGAACTTATTTTCATATTTAAAATTTTATTTTATACAGAACTATTTTACTTTACACAGAACTATTTTATTTTTATTGAGACATAGTTAACTTATTGTATTAGTTTTAGGTGTGTGATGTAATGATTTGACTTATATATATATATTGCAATGTTACCACAATAAGTTTAGTTAATACTCATCATCACACAGTTACAATTTTTTTTTCTTGTGATGAGAACTTTTAAGATCTACTCTCTTAGCAACTTTCAAATGCACAGTTTTGTTTTGCTAACTATAGTCTCCATGCTTACATCCCCAAGTCTTGTTTATCTCATAACTAGAAGTTTATACCTTTAGACCACCTTCATTCCTTTTGCCCACCCTTGCTTCTGGCAACCAACGATCTGTTCTCTATATCTATGAGTTCAGCTGTTTTTTGGATTCCACATATAATTGAGATCATATAGTATTTGCCTTTCTCTGTCTGACATTTTATGTAGCATAATGTCCTCAGTGTTTATCCATGTTGTCACAAATGGCAAAATTTCCTTCTTTTATTATGTCTGAATAACATTCCCGTGTGTGTGTGTGTGTGTGTGTGTGTGTGTGTGTGTGTGAGATATGTTCTGTATCCTTCATCTGCCAGTGGGACACTTAGGTGGTTTCCATGTCCTGGCTATTGTAAATAATAATGCAGTGAATATGATGGGGAGCTGAAGATATCTGTTGGACACAGTGATTTGATTTCCTTTGGATAAATACTCAGAAGTGGAATTGCTGAATATAGTAGTTCTGGTCTTCATGTTTTGAGAAACTTTCATGCTGTTTTCCATAATGGCTACACCAGTTTACATTTCCACCAGTAGTACATGAGAGTTCCCTTTTCTCCACATCCTCACCAATATTTTTGGCATTGCTGTTGATAGGCTGAATGACTTGTAGCAATCACTTCGTCATTCTGTTCACCTGACAGAGAAGGGAATATAAATTTCATCTAATATGGTCCCCTGATAACTGGATGTGTTAAACTAATGTGACTTGTAATATTGATCACAAGAAATTTTGATGTAAAAACTCTTTAGAAAAAGAAAAATAATTATAAGGTGACTCGGGGATGAATAGCTCTTATTAGAAGTTTCTCAGCTTCATCTTTCTGTGTTTTACATTTTTGGGCAATATAATAATTCATTAGGTTGAAAGTGCACTAAGTTTTCAATCATTCAAACTTTCCTTTGATTTCTAGCTAAATAGGTATTTTCTTGACAGTGTGTTTGTCAAGCTTATTTAAAAAGTTAAACAGACCAATATGAAGACACACACATTTCATCATTATGTGTCTTCCAAGTGAAAGTGACATGAGGCAAACTAATACCTGATGTTACTCTTTCATTCATCATTTTCAAAAATCACTTTCATCGTGCAGAAACATAAATTACTAAAAAGCATTACTCAGACTTCCCTGGTGGTCCAGTGGTTAGAACTCTGCACTCCCACCACAGGAGGAATGGGTTCAATCCCTGGTCCTTAGGGGTCAGAGAAGATCCCACATGCTGTGTGGTGCAGCCAAAATAAATAAATAATAAAAAATAAAATAAAAAGCATTCCTCAACTCTAAATAAAGTGTGAGCTTTCTCTGATCTTTCTTCCACATGGATCCTTTTGTTTAACCCATTTCTTAGTAGATCATAAAATAGAACTAACCTAGCCAAAAGATCGGAGAAAGCAATGGCAGCCCACTCCAGTACTCTTGTCTGGAAAATCCCATGGATGGAGGAGGCTGGTGGGCTGCAGACCATGGGGTCGCTAAGAGTCGGACACGACTGAGCGACTTCCCTTTCACCTTTCACTTTCATGCGTTGGAGAAGGAAATGGCAACCCACTCCAGTGTTCTTGCCTGGAGAATCCCAGGGACGGGGGAGCCTATTGGGCTTCTGTCTGTGGGGTTGCACAGAGTCGGCCATGCCTGAAGCGACTTAGCAGCAGCAGCAGCGGCCGAAAGATATTTTTTTTAAAAACTCATAACTGTCAGGGCTACATTCCACCCAGGCCATGATAGAAATTTCTTTAGTATTAAAGTATGAGGAATAATACCTGTCAGTTGTGAGACAGAGAAAGGGGATGAAATTTTCACACAGACTCTCAGCACCACACTTTTGAAGCTAACACACAGTTTCCATCCTAGGAAGTGTATAAGCTACAATATTATAGCACAGGCAAAATTTAAATCATGACAGGTCCTGACAGTGGTACTCAATATTGATTCACTGCTACTGAAAAATTCTTCAGTTCTCACAGTTAGGCAGAGAAAATGAATTGTGTATTGCCTTCAAATATCAGCAGCACTGCATTGATTATCCTATATTTCAATTTGAAGTCTAAAAATCTTCAATGTAAATAATTTGAAAATACATCTTTCAAGTCTCCATGTGCATGAAAAACAAACGTCAGTCTTATTCACTTGATAAAACATGAACCCAGAAAAAAATCATAATCAGAAGTATTTGTGATATTAACTTATAAGGAAACTTAGAGACAGTGTCCTCTAACTGTGAACTTTTCCAGTGAGAAAACTAAGGCCCAAAGAAGTTAAATGACCTATATAAATTGTGCTTGTACTACAGAACAACATAATTAGACCTCATGTTTCCTTATTCCTCATCGCAAGTCTTTCCACTATACTACTGTTACTTTTTAGAGCCAGGGACCATTCAGTTGTGTTAAGTAAGTCTTTTGTATGGTCATAGGTAATAAATAAAATAAATAAAAGACATTTAACTAAAGTAAATCCATTGTTACAAATCTTAAGTTTTAAAATATTATGCTTTTCTAATTAAGCAATTTAAAAATCATTATTCACAAGGCTATACATATTATTTATCTATATAGTATCTATGTAGTCTTTACATATCACAATTTTATTCTGAATAGTTGTTTTTATTAGCTTGTAAAGAGGTAGAAAAGACTGCAGGAACCAGTTGGGGGGAAAAATGCTATAGCAATCATAGACTTGCATCAAAAAGCTCATTTTGTATATCAATAGTTAGGTCATGGTTGCTAGCCCCCAAAATTATTCTTTCTCAAAATCTCATTTAAAATTTCTCAAAGATTAAACTAATTCCCCATCTTCTCTTGGAGAATTGCTCTGTACCAACTTTATATTTTGCATTATCATTCTATTTAATGTGTTACCTCTCTTAGATATCAAGTATTTGCCTATAGCTGTACTGCTGCTCATCACAACTGGAGAGTCAATAGTAGAAGTGTGAAATTTTTAAACATCTCCTGAGATATGGAAGGCATTACTGTGAGGTTAATGGTTATTTTAGTGTTGTGTGTGAGGTTTTGAGCCTAAAACAAATGCATACTTTTTTCTCAAGAGAGATTTTTAAGAGCATTCCAATTATAAAGGTGTCAGGCATGTGTGTTACCGGTTCTATTACTTGCTGGCTACTTGACTCCAAGCAAGTTACTTAACAGCATACCTCAAATTCCTCATCTGTAAAATGAGGATAATCATTGGACTTACCTCATAGGATTGTTGTAAGCATTAAAAGAGAGAATTGATTATGGTGTGTCCCGGAAAAGAGCAGAGTGGTTTAAAATCTCCTTGGCAGAGCGGTGACAGCCACCAGGGAAGTCCATCCATCACAGACAGAGGCATAGCCCCACATACCCAACAGTAGGAGGTATTGTGGGAGTTGGCGTAGGAATGTGCACGTTGATGAGACCAAGCAACAGGAGTTGATTATGCGGCTTCATCTTCAAGAGGCTCATCCAGGATCTTCTTTTCCTTCTTCTTAAGGATGGTCTTAGTCTCTCGAGGGTCAGTGGGGTCCCTCTGTGCAGTTTACTCAGCTTTCTCTGGGTCTGTGTGGTATGCTCTCTTCACCCTCGAATGATGGATCCAAGGGGCAGTACCTACAACTTTAACTGCAATAGGGGTAGTTAGAATAACAGTATAAGGGCCCTTCCACCGAGGTAAATCTACCTTATTTACATGCTAAGTGGACAAGATCTGTGTTTCAATGGCATGAGTATATTGTTGCCTTATTCACACCCTCTATAGGGACAACAGATATTATGATTAAAGTAGAGGCCTTGACCAATTTCACAAAACAAGCCCTCCTAGATAGAATAAAAGCCATCCAAGCCTTAAATGAAGAGCAAATCCAAATGAGAAAAGCAGTAATTCAAAATAGAATGGCTTTGGACATACTCACAGCTGCTCAAGGAGAGACCTGTGCTATAATTGAGGTTGAATGTTGTGTATGCATTCCTGACTTATCTGATAATGTATCACTGCTTTAGATGACATGAAAAACCAGGTAAAAGCAATGTCAAAAGAAAACATTCCTTTCTGGACTTCAGTCCTATCTTGGGTGAAGGGGGATTGGTGGAAAACTATATTTACCATTGTTATAGTTGCCTTGATATTTCTGCTTTGTGGACCCTGAATTTTACAATGTATTATGAACTTTGTAACCTGAAGGTTGATGTCATTCTCCCAAATTGGTGGTCGGAGAGTCAGGGTGCAATATATCCCTATGAATGATACTCATGATATGAGTTAAGAGCATCAAGAGGGGGGAATGAAGAAGGAAACAGAGAGAGCTGGACTCCGTGTTAGGCCAGGCTGCGAACATTAGGCTACACTCATGGTCACCCTCCCAGTGGACTCTGAACTTTGTGCCCAGAGTCTATAGAAATGGCATACCAATGGAAAACCAGACCCCCCGGATAAAAGAGCCTCAGGACTTGTACTTGGACTCTCTGTTGCCTAAAAGAATATGCTAATTATCTCTGTAACAGAACAAAGTGGTACATTCCAGTATGTTTATCGGGATTTGACCACAGGCCTATTGATAAATATCCACTGTTTATCTAGTCTTGTGACACATGAATTATGGGTTAACTTTGATCTTATCTCTCTTTTACCTTGTCCAGACTAGTTTCAAGGAATTTGAGGAGGTGGGTTTGAGCAAGTACACTTAGGATATATAAGATTTTCACAAAAACTGGTCGGGGTCCTTGGCTAATAGTAGACTTTGCCTTGGGCCCGCCGGTGTAATAAACTGCACTCCACTTAAAAAAATAATAATAAAATAAAAGAGAGAATTGTAGCACAGTGTAGACAAATAGTAACCAGTTGATTGTTATTACTCTTACTTTTCTACATTTTCTACCTTGTAATATTTTTCTGGACTGGGGTTTGCTTCTCCATTAGGTTCAGAGCATTATTCGCTCCCAAACCAGCATGGGAATGCGTCACAGAGATCGTCCAACAACTGGTAACACCCTCAAGTCTGGCTTGTGTTCAGCCCTCACAACCTACTTTTTTGGAGCTGATCTCAAGGGGAAGCTGACAATCAAAAACTTCCTTGAATTTCAGCGTAAACTGCAGCATGATGTTCTGAAGCTGGAGGTAGGTATTTCTTGGACTTCAGGACACTGTCCACCATGTACCCACAAAGAGACTCTGGGCTGGGAGGGGCCTGCACTATAGTTATTCTTTTTATCTAGCTCCAATCATGAGAACTGATTGGTTTGAATCTTATCCGTGATCTGCAGCCTGACAGCAAGTAGGAAATAATATGATTCTAGGACTGAAAGCCCAAGAAGTCTAAATTGAAAATCTTAGTTGTCTCTGAATACTCAGCTTGAGGAAAAAGAAATTCAGGAGTCAGAGCAGTTCTCAACCTGAGCATGTGTGCTTATTGTGTAAAAGGGAACCAGAGGCTGAAGGCAGGGAGGATAATAAGGAGCTCTTTCTATGAAAGTTTACAAAGGTAATAACAGCTGGAAACACAAAAGGTCAGAAATAAAGATATATGTACTCAGAGTTACAAAAGTGTCATACTGGGTTTGGGGATTTACTTTTCCACTTAAAGTTTAGACCGTCATGGTGTTCAGTTCCTAGACACAACTCTGTAAGAGTATTATTACCTTTTCCTGTGCCTGTATTTGTTGAATTAAGTACTTTGGGGATTACTTGGCTACTGAGTCTATTCAGTTCAAAACATGCATTAAATACCTTTTGTATGCATTTTTGTTTGAGGACAAAAAATGAAGTCTCTGATTTCTTCAGATTTTAAAAAATTCCCTCATACTGGTGTTTCTCCACCCCCCTTTTTTTGGTTAACATATGCCTTGCTTTTAATGTTATTTGAAATTTTTAAACATTAAATACTGTGACTGAAAACACATAAAAGTATTGGAGAAAAGTGCTGCTTTGTTTTTAAACTCTGAATATTACTTCTCTATCTGCTCTCCCATCTTTCCCCTGAGAGTCTAATATACTACTCCCACCTCTTCCTCCCACTTACCTCAGTTGAGACAGTTTGAAAAATCTTAACTGAATTCCCATTATTGATCAGAACAGTGTTTAATATTCATTCTCTAGAAGAGATGCAGAAGAATAGGTCATACTAAAAATCAGATCTAACTTTAGAATGTGCTTTCACACTGGTTTTTTTTTTTTTTGGAAATAGTATAATTTAATATTTAAGGAATGTACCTTAAAATAACAAAGTGATGGTTCTCCACGATTCAGCCTCCTTCAAGAGTCTCTTGTAGCCCCTGTAATACTTGGTAAGTATTTATTTATTTTATATATAGTTCAGGGGGCACAAAAGTTTACCTCTATCCTCCTGGGGTCTCCACCTGAGCCTGAGTTTTAAATTAATGTAAGACAGATTAACAAGGGGAAAGTATACAGATTTTTACACATACATGGGCATCCCCCTAAAAAAATGAAGACCCAAAGAAGTGGCTCGGACTAAGTGTTTATATACTAAGTTGAGCAAAGAGAAGCAACTTAGCTTTGTGAAATTCACATTCTTATCACCAGAAAAAGGGAGTCAAAGTCAAACGTTATCTGTGCAAACAGATTTTGTTAAACTAATTCTTATCTTCCTTTAGTCCCCCATATGTTTTAGTTACTTGTCCACAGTTGCCTTTCTTTGTTTCTTTCCTCCCGGTATAAGGAGGACATCTTTCACATGAGAGTTTTACATCCTGCTTTCAGGAGTCCAGTTGTTTTTGTGTAAAGAGTTCCTATGTACTAGGATTCTAGACGTATGCCTTGGCCCCTTGTATGCATACCTGGAATGGTCTTCTTTGGAAACATTATAACATAATTTGGGAATGTGAAATTATTTAACTTATTAATTATATAATTACAACTTAGCATGGAGTATACATCCATAAAATGTAGTTAGAAGAAAAAACACAAGTCAGAATGGCAGTTTTAACAAACTTTAAACAACAGTATGGGGTCATCAGAATATGGAGCAGATGCCAACTTTACCACAGTCTAGCCTGACACTCATTCGTGGACACATGACAGAATCTCAAGAGACAGAGCATGGACCTTTGTCTTTTATCCTGAGATGCTAGAGAGCTTAAAGCCCACTAACATACCATGTAGATTGCCAATGAAGTAGAATGTTATAAAGCAGATTAGGGATTTCATACATGTGTACCTGCACATAGACTACACCCAAATGCTGAAGAAAAGAGATCTAAAAGACAGTTATATCTAAGATATTTACTCTAGAAAGCTGTCTTCTATTTGACATTGACTTGGATTATCTGTAGTCTTTGGGCCAAGACATACCAAAACTGTTTCTGTTTGACAATCCACAATCCCTCATGTGAGGGAACCAATAGACTTTTGTGAAAGAACCCAGCCTACCACATAATAAAAATCATATTTTCTACATAAAAATGTTTACTAATCTTAAGTCCATTCTTCCCATTTAATGGCACAAGATCAATGAATAAGCCTCCTTACGAATAACCCCCATATTTAAATTTTCATGGATCAGTACTGTGTCTTCCTAACTAGATGTATAATTCTTTGAGGAGTTATGAATAACAGAAAGAGCAAAGGCTCTGGTGTACTCATAGTGAGACCTTGGTTAAAATTTTCTTTCTACCACTTACTGGCGGTCTGTGATGAGTTATTTATTCTCTCAAAGCCTAGATTCTCCTTTGTACAACATGAAGAAGTGAAGTGAAGTCACTCAGTCGTGTTCGACTCTTTGCGATCCTGTGGACTGTAGCCCACCAGGCTTCTCCATCCATGGGATTCTCCAGGCAAGAATACTGGAGTTACTGGAGTAGGTTGCCAGTTCCTTCTCCAGGGGATCTTCCCGACCCAGGGATCGAACCCAGGTCTCCCATGTTGCAGGCAGACACTTTAACCTCTGAGCCACCAGGGAAGCCCAACATAGTGGTAGTTAAGTGAGATGGTGTTTGTTATCGGCTGAATTGTGTCCGTCCCTCCCCACCCCTACACCAGAGTTTCTGTATTGAATCCCCAAACCCAATTTGAAGATAGCTATGATTAAGTTAAAATGAGGCTATTAAGGTAAGCCTTAATCCTATCTTACTGGTAACCATATAAGGAATGGAAATTTGGAAAGAGACACAGACACACCAGGCGTGTACTTATACAGAGGGACAACCGTGTGAAGAGACAGCAGGAGGACAGTCAACTGCAAACCAAGGAGAGAGGCTTCAGAGGAAAGCAACTTGGCCTATACCTTGATCTTGGACTTCCAGCCTCCAGAACTGTGAAAAAATTAATTTCTGCTGTTTGTCACCCAGCTGGTAGTATTTTATTATGGCAGCCTCACTGAACTAACACAGTGATGTGTGCCTGAACACTTGGCATGTACCATGCCTTTAATAGTTATCCTTCCACCTTCTTTTATATGCCCTCTACCCTTCGTGTATCAATCAGCACATAGTAGACACGTAAACCGGAGAAGGCAATGACACCCCACTCCAGTACTCTTGCCTGGAAAATCCCATGGACAGAGGAGCCTGGTGGGCTGCAGTCCATGGGGTCGCACAGAGTCGGACACGACTGAAGCGACTTAGCAGCAGCAGCAGCAGCAGCAGACATGTAAACAGATTATCCTAGATGAATGACCGAAAAGCCTTACTTTCATTTTGAAAGAGTTTTCTGATAAAACATCTGGAAAAATGGAAGCAATTTTGTTTTTATGAAACACTTTTAATTTTACTTTTTGAAGTTTAGGTAATTTCTCCCCTCACTGAATATGAAATATAGTATTATCACAGCCAAGAGGAAAATAGAAGTGATTAACACTATCTTAACTTTCACATGGATTTTATAAGTTCCATCATTCTATTTATCTCTTACCAGTTTTATTTCACTGCTTACTAATCTACTTTAAAATTTTAGATCAAGGAGATTTATAGCTCCATTTAGTTATTTCTATCTTCTTCTCACCACAGTAGCTTTGAGAGTGAAGAGAACACGATTTATCTGTCAAATTTAATTTCCACACAGGTCAGGGAAGGGAAAAAGTCCATGAACAATATCTATTGAATGCCTACTATGAGCCAGACAATGTGTAGATATGACATGCCTTCTTTATTTTAATCATCACCAACCCTATTGGATTTGGTGGAATTATACCTGAGTTACAGATACAGAAACTGAAACTCAAGAAGATAAAAGTTACAGAGGTAGTAAATGGTACAATCAGGATTCCAACTCAGCCTTTCAGACTACGCTCTTTTCTGTTCATCATCTGATTGTTATTACTTTTAGTCTGAGATGAGGTTTCTGTACATGACTTATTTGGAGCTCTAAAGAAAAAATGTTAAGAAATTTATGAACAGAAAACAAAATAAATTTCCTGAATATTTATAGTTTCCCTTTTTCAACACCATGTTTTTCCAGTTCCTTTGCCCCTCAAGTTGAATCTTATGACTGAGAAGAAATACACCATTCTTTGTGTTTATAAAATACTATGTAAACTACCTATTTAGTTTCTTTTCATAACAGTCATTGACTTGTTAGATTTTTTGTGTTTTAATGCTCCTAACTCTGGTCATATTTGTTTTTTTATACCCTTTGTCTTTATTTGGGAACTTTCAAAAAGCATGGATTTAAAAGACTGACTTTAGAATACCCAATTCCATAAGAAAAGATGAGTTAGTGATGGTGAAATACCTTTGTGTTTAAGGCTATTGGGAAAAGGAGTTATAATGACTTGGACTAAAATTATGAACAATTTAATTAAATACTTTTCATATGCATATAAAAGCCACATATACATGCATTTTAATAAATCATAGTGGCTTAATGTCAAAAATGCACAATTTTTTAAAAATACCTCCTTTGAAGTTATTAAAAATTCCATCTAAGTCTACCAAGAACTATTGAGCTGAGTTCCTTGGAGACAGGTGCCAAGTCTAATTTCAGTTAATATATTCATTGACTTCTTGAGGACTGCAGCAAGTAGGATGTCAGTCAAAAATGAAAGGTAATAGAGAACTCTTTGAAAGATTATGATTAATTTTAATTTGGGGGGAGGAGAAAAAGGAGCTGTCATTATGTCAAAGAAAAGTAAAAACTATACAAGGAAGAAGGAAACTTCAGAA